GAAACCCCCACCCCGGCTTGGGCCCCGGGGATCCCCGCGTGACAACACTGCCAGTCACCACCTGCGGACGGCTCAGATCGCAGGCCGATGAGAAACTTTTCTCATCGGCCTGCGATCTGGCCCGTCCGCAGGTGGTGACCGGCCCGCAATCTGGGCCGTGCGATACCCGTTCGGCCCGCCCAACCGGCCCTTCTGAACGCGCGCCCGCGCCCAGCCCTGAAATCGCCCTTCGAAGGGCTGTATATGTGACCGCCATTCGAAGGGGCGGGCTTCTCAATCGTCTCGGGCGCGACGACACGCTACGGCACGTGACGGCACACTACGGCACACTACGGCACTCGACGGCACGGGACGACACTCCCTCCTACCCTACCGCTCTCTGTCTCTCTATGGCACGCGACGGCACTCCCTCCTACCCTACCTCTCTCTCTCTCTTTGTGCTCTATGTGCTTCGGTGATCAGTGTTCTACGTGCGTTGGTGAACGTGCGTTGGTGCTCAACGTTGGTGAACGAGCGTTGGTGAACGTGCGTTGGTGAACGTGCGTTGGTGCTCTACGTGCTTTGGTGATTGGTGCTCTATGTGGTTTGGTGATCGGTGCTCTATGTGCGTTGGTGAACGTGCTTTGGTGATCGGTGCGCTACGTGTGTGCTGGGCGCTGGGCACCATGCAGTAGGAGCAACATTGGATACTGTGTTGGTGTGGCCTGATGCGTTGGACATTGGCTCACGGGTCCATTGTAGTGTTATGATCCTGGTTGTTTGTTGTCAGAAGACCAACACGCGCTCACATAGACTTCCAGGTATGCCCATACATTCACAGAAGGAAAGGGAGAGGATGGGAGTATCACACCGCAGGGGGAGAGATAAACACAGTGGAAGACTTGTTCATGCGATATGACAGAAAACACTGAAAGTGTAATTCGCTCCGCAGAATCCTCACAACCAGTCACAAAGGAAAGTCGAGTAGATCACATCCAGAAAACAATGAAGCACTGATAGCCTACACACAGTATTCACACTGTTGATTAAACTCAGAGTGTCCAAATGTCAGAATAACCCCAGAACTATAGCTCGCTGCTCAGAAGTGAGCAGTGCTTCACTCTCCAACCCTGAGTAACCGCTAATACTACCCCTGAGTCCCTGAAACAACCAGCACCACCCAGATACTGCCTCCAGAGGGAAGCGCCACCCTGAAACAGGCCTCTGAGGACAAGCGCCTCTCAGAGGATGAAGAAGAAGACCAGCGCCACAGTATCTGATGATGATGAAGTGCCAGAAGACTTCCCGGGTGGAAGTCTATAGCAGCGCCACCTCTCCTGACAAATGATCTCTCAGGAAGGAAGCTGCAGCTATGGCTGCAGCGCCACACACCCTGACACCCTACTCCTGAGGAGGGTTCAGCAGGGCACCAACTTCTCTTGCCTCCAGCAGACTTCAGATATCCTGGACCTCTGAACAGCTTCACGTGCTGTCAGAGAATTGCGTAGGTCCCAGCTATGGCCGATGCTTCGCAGGTCCGGCTATGTCTGTCTTCCCCAACGCTGAAGCTGTCACCACTCGAGTTCATGCGTTGAGCAACCGCGATGTACACGGTACCCACTGCCAAAAGCCCCGAACAGATTCCTACACTCTATTAATAGGACTACACTACCCTAGACTAAACCTAGACCGGACTGACTGGACCGACCGGTACCGTTTCAGTTTCGGCCTCTGGGGCCTCTCCCTACCCGGCTATAGGCTATAGGACTGTCTATCAGCGTATGCCTTTAGGGCCTGTCTGTCCTGGGGGTAGCCCGGGTCTGCTATCGGCAGTTAGGGTAGCTGTAGAAAATTCTAGTTAGTGTGGGCCTATATTTTCCCGAATTTGCAGATATGTCCCTCACAAATTTTCCTTACAGGCAGGTCTGTCGGTTAGCCCTCAGCCAAACAAAATTACAAAGCTAACCTACCTATATTGTAGCCTCGGGTCGACGGGTCGCAGGCTGCAGAATCAGCAAGTCATTGCAGTAGTGCTCTTATGTGGATGGAATCTTGGTGCATTTATGCTCTCTGCTCGGTACATGACTATCTGGACTTGGTTTTCTATCTATTGCTCTCGCTCATATTCCTTGCAAAAAAAACAGAAGGGCAAAACCAGGGGAGGGTTCAGATTTTTTTTGTCCCGTCTATCTTCTACGAATTTTATCTTTTTTTTTAGTCAACAGATTAACACGAAATTTTAGTCGTAGTTGTGTTAGGTTGTAGTCTATCTAAAAAAAAAAAAAAAAAAAAAAAAAAAAAAAAAAAAAAAAAAACAACCCAAAATTTTAGGCCGCGATGGGTTTGGCGGGGCCCGAAATGCAGGAAGGATGGGGCCCTAACCCCCGAACATCCCGGGGGGAGTTCGGCCCCCTCCAAATGTTCGGGCCGGCAACCCTGATGCCTAGTCTTTGTCTGTTCTATTTCTGTCTGTTTCCAAGGTGCCCTTTCAGACCATTCAGTGGGTCTGTCCGAACAGGAGGTCTGTTCGGACCAGTAGGTTGGGATAGGCGAGGTAGGCCATGCTTTGGTTTGTTTAGTAGGGGACTGGACCCCATGTTTTCTGGCCCAATCCTGTCATTTCCCTGCTCCATCAGCAGGAGGGCCTGGATGTCCGATAGGGACCCGTAGATTGACTGAACGCAGAAACCCTTGAACTTTTGGCGATCATGTTTTTCACCTGATTTTTTGTTACTCATGTCAGCATTCTCACTTCTGATATCTCCAGCTGTTTTCACAAACAGCCTTCTTCAACTTACAGAACGCAGGCAGGCCAGTGCTTTGTCCTGAAATGCAGTTCCAGGCCTTGAGCCTGCAACCAGGACCGTCGATCGGACTTACGATCGCAAGGCCCTGGTTGCAGACCACAGCCACACCAGCCAGGCCCAGCTGTTACAGACTCAGCCAGGGCTCGATCCCTGGTCCGCTGGTTACCACCCCGCCAGGCTGCTATTTGATTTTTGAGTCTCTGATCTCTGGCTCCTGACTGTTGGCGCCCGTTTTTTAATTCCTCCTTTGGCACTTTCGGATTTCGATACTTGGCGCCATCCGGCATTCTGGTGCCCAGGCTCAGACCTTGGATTCTCAGTTCAGCCCTGAGGCAAATTGCACTTCTGCCCTCGGGACTGAACTTGAGTCCGGTACTTAAGACCGGACTCAAACCCAGTACGGGCACTCAGTTTTCAGCCTCTATGCTTGTGCTTAAGTGTGACTTGCTGCGACATTGTGTTCGGAATCCAAGATTGCGACTTTGCGACTTTGCCACTTTGTGTCTGTGTCCGTCGGGTCGTGTCAAGTCTGTGTCGATTTGAGCGAGCGTGTGTGTGTGTGCTCTCTCCCTCTCTCTCCCAGCCGCGCTGCTCTACCTCAGCCCCGTCACACCAGCGGTGTATAGCTGGGCCAGTCCTCTCATTGCGGACATTCAGTTGGGCGACTGTTGGACGTCACACTGCCGGAGCAGCACACGACATTGGAGCACTGCGCTTGGTAGAGGTAAAGGTGTAGGAGGAGGTAGACGAGAGCGGAGGCTGGTGAGCCATAGCCACTGGTTGGAGGACGACTTACCTGGGCACCATAGCTTGGACTGCGCTCCAGCGACCTGCATCAGAAAGCGCCACTCAGTATTGGCAGGATCTCAGCAGCACCAGGTGAGAGGAGGGTAGAGGAGATCTCTCCTCCTTCCTCTCCGGTCTTCTTTGACCTCCATAGCTCCTGCTCTTCGTCTTCTTCTTCTTCTTTCAGT